TATATATATATATATATATATACTGTATATATATATATGTGTGTGTATATATGTGTATACTATATATATATATATACAATTTAATTATGGTCTGGTTAACTTCTTTTTTTATTTTCTTTATACACGGCAATTGATTAGTTGGCTAAATGAGTTTCTTTGCTGCTATGGTGCCAGAGTTCAATATGGCTGGAGGCATTATGGGATGTTTTGGCTCTGGTTGGCCAAGCATCTCTGTAACGTCTAGTCAAATAACATTTATAGTAGCAGACACAGACAGAGATGTGCGTCTGTTGTTGTGTATGTGTGTATGCAGGAGCATCATATTTTTTCTTTAAGAGGCAGACTGGCAGTCCTTTACTTGGTGCCCTAGGCGACAAAAAACATATATGTGTCTTAAATTCAATATGTGTGAGACATGTTAGTCTCATGGTGCAGATCCCAACCAAATATATAACTTTGTTTTTAATAATCCAAGAACAATTGCAACTTGAACTTGACAAGTGATCACCATGTTTTTGTTGTATGAAAAATAGCAGCTTTGACATTTTAATAATATCTCCATGGGATCTGTGAAGTTTTTGACATGAGGGTGAGTAGACAATGACAGAATTTCTAGTAGGCCTATAAAGATGGGGTAGTCAACTTTTTAACTTTTTTTTCTACAATAATAGTTTTACATTTAATCCGCAGGACAGTGTCACATCTTAAAATAAATGTTAGGTCTATTTGCATATAGTTATTTTATTTTATAATAAATAAGTAGCTTTAAAACAGTTTTGGTTATATTTCGTTAACAAAAATAACGACTTTATTCCACATTTTCGTCTCTACTGCGTCATTTTGGACGTGCGTTCACGACAATACCATGACGCGAATAAAGTCGTTATTTTTGTTTTCTTTGCGCAAAAAAGTATTCTCGTAGCTTCGTAACTTTACAGTTGAACCACTGATGTCACACAGACTACTTTGTCGATCATCTTGGTACTTTTCTGGACCTTTCCTGGTAGTTACCTTGCTGTCTGGGAGGGTCAGAGAGCCCTCATATTTCATCAAAAATATCTTAAATTGTGTTCCGAAGATGAACGAAGGTCTTACGGGTTTCGAACAACACAAGAGTGAGCAATTAATGACAGAAAAAAATCATTTTTGGGTGAACTAACCCTTTAAATTCTATTTGCCATGTACACCAGGAAAGACAAATGATAGCTTAAAGAAATATGCCAACATGTTAATGATAAGCACAAATTAACTGTTATTTCAATTAAGCAGTTGTAACTATTATTATTTTTTGTATTATGTTATATTTTTATGTTAGTGGTGCTAAAAATGCATCATAAAAAGTGCATCAGTGTTATGTGTGTGGAGTGTGTTACGGTGTGGAGTTTTGAAGACCAGGTGTGATGGGCCGTTCTGTACCATAAAGTCCAGGGCCACTTTTAAGTTCCGTTGGGGATGGGTCTGAATGGGAATGACGATTGTGTGTGTGTGTGTGTGTGTACTTGTATAAAAGTCTTTTGTATCCTCCTCGCTCTGACCGTCACTTTACTATTTTTCCGTCTCTCTTGTACTTGGCACATCCTCACACAATACCAGGGAAGTCAATTCACTGGAGGCTGTCAGAGCACATTTTCTGACCTGTCGCTCTTCGCTTTTGAAATACTACTGAAAAGAAAACCTTGATGTGTCTAATTCTGCTGAAAACACTTTCAGACCATTCTAGCATTTACCAGTAACATGTTGTCTGACAAAAATCTTCTTCTTAATTTTATCTATGAATTCATTTATTTTTTGTTCAGTTTAATGTTTGAACAGCAATAGACCAATTTTCTGCTATGACTAAAAGGAATAGATTACTGCAAAACCAGAGACATGATCATTAGTGCATTGACTTCTGTATTATTATCCCCCCATAAAATGAGACAATGAACATAATGTTTCGACCTAGAAGTATTTCCTGTTGAAACAGGATGTTTGTGCTCAGCATATCCAGAGGAGCTCATCCATTTTAGAATCAGCCAATAGAAGAAAAGGACTGTACAGTACATTCTACATGTGTGTATCTTTTGAAAGTTTATTTTGTCAGCTTTTATGAGTTTGTTAGCCTAAAGATGACCTCAGAGCTAACAGATATGAACTATAAGCCGCAAGCACAGAGAATGTGTCATTTCCATCGCCCTGTTACCTTTTGAAGGAATTTTTCTTTTTCTCTCTTTCTCAGATCAACAAAAACACATCCAGGTCCTGTTGTTCATCTGAGTGACAGTCCAAAAGATGAGGGAAAGGTGAGGAATGCATTTCTTCTTTTGCTCATTTTTCACTGAAATAAATGGCTCAAAACCTTTTAGAAACTAGTGTTTACTAGTGTTTAGAAACACAAGTTTACCACTATGAAAAAAAAACCATTAGTTCCCTTTCGAGGGAACTTCGAACTGCGTCCTCTAGGGGTCGCTATGGGGGGGACGCCTTTAGCGTGACCGGTGTCTGAAGCATATATCTAAAAATGACAATAACTTTGGCTGACGACAGCCTATGACGTCATTACCCTGCACGAGCACAGTATAAAAGGGCGCCAGGATGACACGTCATCCTCTTCTTCGTCTTCACTGACCGTTTGTTTATGTTAGCGTTACGCTAAATACGACTAGGAGTGCATGTTCTCTCGCCAGAGGCTTTGCTCTGATACCTGCGGTTTCACATGGCTCGCGTGCTTTTTGTGTGTGGTAAAGAGCAAGCGTGTTCAGCTCTCGAGGGAGCTGGATGCACTCTGTATTCATTGCTTATTTCTTGTGAGAGATAAGCATGAATTGTACGCGCTCGTCTCACGAGGAGGCGACTTGTGCTCATCGTGATGTATTCGCGGGACTACTGAGGGGGATGTGAGTACTTCACCATTTACCTGAGTTTGCAGGTAGCGTTTGCATGAGTGCGTTCGCCTCTCGCTTTTCGTTCTCGCTTGATTTCTGAGGTTATCTAGTGGTTGGGCGGATCGTGTTAGCTCCCGCGTTGCGATCGCGATCGCGGTGTGAACATGGAAAGGACCTGATGGGAAATTTCTCCCTATCAGTAATTTCCTTTGGTTTATATAGTAAGTGTATAGTGTGGATCTGTCTGCAGTTGCTGGACAGATTATTTATATCATGTCCTTCTCAGATAACCACATTATACTGCACTCCGGCTTGAAAAAAAAAAGAGCCTCCCATTCCTTCCCGATCTTCATTTGGAGATCGAGAGGGTTTGGAAAAATCCATTCTCATCCTGCATCCACAGATTCCAGCATATTAGTTATGCCAACATCGAGGGGATGCGTGAGAATGGTTATGAAAAGATGCCCCCTGTTGAAGAGACGCTGGCCTGCTATCTCTCTATGGGGGAGACATCTTCTGTTAAGGCTCCCTCCCTGCCCTTCAGGATGCATCTTGTTTGAATGGCAGGGCATACGCGGCAGCAGGTCAGGCTGCAGTCTAGTTGCACACCATGGCGGTGCTTCAGGCTTTTCAGGCTGATCTGTTGAAAGACCTGGATAAATGCAGGGTCTATCCCCTGATGAGGTGGCTGAGTTGCGTCACACCACGGATCTTGCTCTCCGTGCCACTAAGCGGGCCACTACTGCCATTGGCAGATCCATGGCGGCCATGGTGGTTACGGAGAGACATCTGTGGGTGAGTGTGGGGGATATCGGGTTGAAAGAGAAGGGCTTTCTTCTTGATGCGCCGGTTTCCCCTTCTGAGCTTTTCAGCACTTCCGTCGAGAAGGTGGTTATGAAGTTTTTAGGAGGCCAAGACGCACTCGGCTGCCTTTAAATCCTTCATTCCACGAAGGTCCAGGCTTCGGACTTCGCCTCCAGCCTATATCCATGAGCCTGAGTCATGCGCAGGAGCCATGGTTGGTTTGACCCACCTGCTAAGTCAGGACCTCCTGCTGTTGACCGATTAGAGTAATGGTTTCACTCATCGGTTCTGGTTCCAGGCTGGTGATTGCTTGGACACGCAGCCTGGGCTTCTGAGGAAGCCTCCCAGCATCAGATCCCCAGTATTCTCACTGAGGCATTGAGGTGCTCAGCGCTCCATAGACGGTCGGGCCTGTGGGTCTTCACTGTCACACTGCCCTTATGGTTGAACCAGTAATCACCCCTCTGCAGAGTGGGCTGGAATACACTGCGTTCCCTGAGGTAAGAGGGATTTGTGTTTCTGTGGAAACCCCTCTGTTGTGCTTTTGCTCTGAGGAGCAGTAAGCTCTATATGCATTAATGGTTTTTGGGTCCCGCTATTTCTTCAGATTCTTTCGGGTCTGGTTATACGGGACCCACGCTCTCTATCGTTTCTCTTATTGGGCCCTGCTGGGTTACCCCTTCTAATCTAGCGCCCCTTCTGGTCAAGCTGAGAAGTGCTCCCCTCTCTGTGAGGATTAGCTATGAGTCGCTCCCAGTGCTTTAAGGGCCCACCTCAGCTTGAGAGCCAAGAGCGCTGCTCCCGAAGGACCCCATTTGCAACAAACTAAGTGTTAGGCCCTTCTCTGTCGCCTCCTTGGTCAGTTGCCTTTATGTTGGGACCCTGTTGTTCCCTTAGAAATGTGTGATCCCCTTCTAGCAGGATCCCATTTCTTATGTCCCATTTGCGATCTATCTGCCCCGGGCATGGCTATGCTCCCCTTACTGCGGGAGGGTCCCTTTGAGCTCGCCGGTCCTGGGCAGACTGGGTGAGTCTTCCTCTCGACTTGAGAGTTAGGTCCTCTACCCTGGGCTACTGGTCGCTTCGGTCGAGCTGGGTTCCTCTCTCTCTTCGCTAGGGGTTGAACCCTCCGCTCTTGAGCTTCTAGGCAGTGACATCAGGTAGTTGGGCCGCTTGCTTCCTTGATAAGCTACCTCTATTCGGGTTAAGCCAGGCAGTGCTCCCCTCACCTCAGAGGGTTGTCTTTGAGCCTGCCGCTCCCGGTTGAGTGTCTGAGGACTTCTGGGCATCTGTGAGCAGATGCTTCGGAATCTGTTCTCACAGTCACTTAGGGTCCCTAGGCTGGCTTAATACAGCCTCAGTTACCCTTTAAGCAACGGTTTTTCTAAATCCATGCTATGGTAAGTGCACACGCTAAGCTCATAAAATCCACATTATGGTAAGTGTGCACGCAAAGCATTCTGCGCACTTTCTAAAATCCTGTATGGTAAGGGTTACCCGCTGTCAGCCTCTTTCCCTTTCTCTGAGTTGGCTTAGGCCCCGGTTCTTGCCTTGGGCTCCACTCAACTAATGTGTCTCTTTGATACATTTCTGAGCAGGGTGTTGCTACCTAAGATCTGTCGAGTCAGTTCTTTGAGCAGGTTTATTCAGAACTGGTGGTAGCCCCCCTGGGTGACAGGCCAGGGTCTGGTGTGGTTTTTTAGACACCTGGCCATATCCCCTTAAAGGAATCTCTTTCTTTGATTCCAAGGCTTGAACTCTGCCCTAGGCTTGGGCTTCCTAGCTCAGCCTTAACAGGTAAGTTCTTTTAGGGTATGCAGCTCAGGCCCTTGGCCGAAGGGGGTAATGTCACTGACAGCCGTCAAGACGTCCTTTGGGGCAACTCCCACGGCTATGGTAGAGTTGGTACTTAGTGCTCGCCGTGGTTTTCTGGCATGAACTCCCCTCAGCATAGTGGCGTGGGTATACCGTTCCCCATAGCGACCCCTAGAGGACGCAGTTCGAAGTTCCCTTGAAAGGGAACGTCTCAGGTTACGTATGTAACCATGGTTCCCTGGGATACATATGTAACCATGGTTCCCTGAGTAGGGAATGAGACACTGCGTCCTCTAGTTTTCTTGCCATGCTGCGGACGCAAGCTTCAGACGAAGAAGAGGATGACGTGTTATCCTGGCGCCCTTTTATACTGTGCTTGCGCAGGGTAATGACGTCATAGGCTGTCGCCGGCCAATGTTATTGTCGTTTGTATATATATGCTATCCCCCCCATAACGACCCCTCTCAGGGAACCATGGTTACATATGTAACCTGAGATGTTTTCCTTAGTGTGACTGCTGGAGTTCTTTATAAAAGGTACTTTGCATGCGTTGGAACAGTTCTGATTCATTAACACTCATCAGGATACACACACACGCACACATACACTTGTTATGTGACCTGATGTTCACCCGACTACTGGTGTTAACATCTTGTATTGAGGATGCATACTAAAAACATCTCTCCCACTCTCACAAACACAGAAATTCACATTCATTTAAAGGAATAGTTCAGCCGAAAAATGAACATTTTATCATCATGTACTCACCCTCATTTTGTTTCGACCCTGTATGCGGAGATGTTAGGCAGAAAGTCTGAATAGTTTTGCAATGAAAATAGATAGTGATTTATACTTCATGCGTTAGGTCTTCTGGAGCTTAACAGTATAATAGCTTAACAGTAACAGTATAAGGACATCCTGCCTAACGTCTTGTTTTGTGTTTTCTGGAAGAAAGAACATAATATACAGGGTAGAATGACATGGAGGTAAGGGATGAAATGTTCATTTTTGGGGGGATCTGTTTCTTTAAAGCGTTTCTCTAATCTGCTATCTCCAGGAGGAGGCATGGCATTTTGGAGTCAGTACCATGAGGTCATCTTCCAGGAAAAGAATGTTACATGCTGTTGTAGAAATGCTGTTGTAGTCACAGCAGGTCAGATGCATTATGGGAACTGATACGGACGGGCTTAGGGGACCAATAATGGAAGACAAAACACAAAATATACTGTAGCACAGACAAATATAAGAGGTAGAGACAGTCCAGTGTCTGATTAATTTGAATTTGAATTAAAGGAAGAATTATTCAAATGTGATGAAATTGCAGTTTAGTAAATTTATTTTCCTTTCATTCCCATTCAAATTCCAATTCAACTTCCTGTAGTGTGTTGCCAGTTCAGTTCAAATTCACACACATGAACTGAAAGGGAGCCAGTTCTTAAATTCACAATTTTTGCCCAACATCTGTGACAGAGAGAAGATTCCCAGGATGGAGCATGGGTCTGTTTTGATCAGCGCTTGCTCCATCATGTCCAGTTAAATAATAAATGTGCCCAATCACCGGAGTGTCTGTTTTGTTCTGAACAGCCAAAAGGCTCTTGACATTTGTAACACACACTCTTGCCTCTGTTTCCACTATTTATTGCCATTCTGTTGGGATTTATAGACTCCTGTTTCTCTCTCTCTCTCTCTCTTCTGTGTGTGTGTCCCTCAGTTGCTGATAGGTTTTGAGAGCGGTACAATAGTAATGTGGGACTTGAGGGCCAAAAGATCTGACTTCAGGATATACTATGACGAGGTGAGTGTCAAGTGTTTGCCACTTACACTTCCTTACAAAGGTGAAATGTCTTTTTTGCATAAAGCTACTTATATATAATAATATATACACTATTGTTCAACAGTTTTGGGAGAGTCATTTTATTTATTTATTTATTTTAAGTTTTTGGGATAGAAGTCTCTTATGCGCACCAAGTCTGCATTTATTTAATTACAATTCTGTAAATACAGTAATATTGAAATGTTGCTTTCCATTTTAACATATCTTAAAATGTAATTGAAAGCCTGTGATGACAAAGCTAAATTATTATATCTGATTCTTTAGAACTCATTCCATAATGTTGATTGTTGCTTGAGAAATGTATTATTATTATTATTATTATTATTATGTTGAAAAAGATGTGCTGCTTACAATCTTTGTGGAAAAGATTGCTGCTGGTATATATATCATATATATATCATTAATTACATTAAGTACATTCTTTTATCCTGAAAGAATTATAAATTTTTATTGTGTGAAGTGATTATGTATGAAAATACAGATTTATATGTTTTATTTTTGTATTATTTCTCTCTCTCTCTCTCTCTCTCTATATATATATATATATATAGATATATATATAAAATGAATATATTTTACATGAAGTGCATTAATTTTAATTGTGTGAAGTGAAGTTAAATTGTGTGAAGTTATGTATGAAAATACAGACATATATGACATATATATATACAGACATATATGTTTTATATTCATGTTATTTCTTTGTCTCTGTGTGGGTGCACAGTCTCTATGTATGTGTGCGCATTTGTGACCCGAAAGCTCCAGTTTATCATCTTGTTATAATCCAGCCCTCAGCCAGAAACAAGACAAATAAAAATAAATTGGAGAAAAAAAACAAAAACAAACTAGGCTATATAAATAAAAAATGACGTCTTTCTCGCTCTCCATTGTCCAAGTAAATTTGCTTTTGGCACTAAACACTTGGCTTATCTGCTCATTTTTTTCCACACTGTTGCTGATTTACAACAACACTGAGCACAAGTCACTTTTCTGATTTAATTTCCCTCCTTGTGCCATGTGGATCTGTTTAGCATAATCACTGCTTGGCACACAACTTTATCTTTCTTCTGAAAGAGGAACTGCCTCCTGCAGCCAGCTGCTCGCATTCACCCTTCCAAAACATGTTTCAATCACAGCGCCCCTTGGCTCACAGCAGCACGCACAAACCCTCCCAAAAACTCACCCTTTTCTCCTTCCAACCCTTTACTGCGTGCTTCAATTTAGTTGACGATGCACCCTCTGATCATCTGTCAGCACCGCCTGTACAGAGGCACTGTCGCTCGGCAAGCGTTTGTCAGAGTGGGTAAATGCACATGTGTGTGGAAAAAAACATACTTTTAATGGTTTCCATTTTTATTTGACCCTCTAACTCTAGCACTCTCTATTCTAATTCTATTCTTTAAAAAAAACACTTGTCCCTTTTAGACTTGCACTCTATTCATTTGCTGCTTGTTTTCTTAAAAAAAAAAAAACTAACACTTGCTTTCTAAACTTTTTGTATTCTATCTGTTTTCTTTTCATTTATTATACAATTAACAAAAGCAAAAGAGACCTCTAACACTATCTTGCTCTATTTTTTTTCTATTCTATCTGTTTTCTTTTTTATTTATTATATTATTTAAAAAACCCTTGCTACGTGTACTGCGTTAAGCTAACTGAGACTTGTTATAGCACTTGTATATCATTGCTCTTTTGTTAGTTTTGATTGCTTCCATTGTCCTCATTTGTAAGTCGCTTTGGATAAAAGCGTCTGCTAAATGACTAAATGTAAATGTAATGCAATGTAATAGAAAGGACTTTGAACGAGAGAGTGAGGGAAGAGGAGAGATACTGGGAGAAAAAAGACAGGATGGAATGAGAAGCACGACACAAAGGGATGTGTTTGTTCGTGTTGAAAGAAATAGGAATAGATTTGGAAAGGTACAAAAATCTCTTTCCCTCACATTCATTTCTACAAATAGACTGATCACAGAACTACCACTATCATGATATTATCGCTCTCATGACTATTTAGATAAAACTTTAGCTGATTTTTTGGTATGTCTTGGAATAATATAGAACATCAGCATCAAACACTTTCATACACACAACTAACAAACATCAAATAAATCTGACGCTGATATAATTTCACTTATTATTTACTGTGTGACATTAGTGAGTAGATGAGTGGAGATCAGGCTGCTTTGATGGTGGAGTAATTACTGATATCGGATTATTGACTCTCAGATGGATGAAGGTCTGAGAGAGAGAGAGAGAGAGAGGGGAAGAGAGAGGGAGAGAGACTTTCACAAGCAGGAACTATTAGTCATGTCTTCCGTTCTCTGATTTCTCTAATTTCCAGAGCTAAATTGACGATACACACATGTGACAGGCAGCATCTCTGAATTTCTTTTTTTCTCTTTCTCTTTTTTTAATGTTACTTCTCTGTCTTCCTCCCTCTTGCTTGTTTGTTTGTTCACCAAATTTGCATTTATTAAAAAAATACAGTAAAAACAGCAATAGTGTGACATTTTATTACAATTTAGAATACCTCTTTTCTATTTCAGTATAATTAAAATGTAATTTATTAGTGATGGCAAAGCTGAATTTTCAGAAGCCATTACTCCAGTCTTCAGTGTGACAAGATCCTTCATAAATCATTTTAATATATTGCTGGTTTGCTGCTCAAGAAACCTTTTTTTTGTATTAATATCACTTTTGAAATGAATTTTGTAATTGATCACAGCAATAGTTGATTTCTATCTATCTATCTATCTATCTATCTATCTATCATTGATAGTATATCTAGTTTATATACAGACAATCTTACTCTGATCCAACATTATAATACAGTTGATTGATGTATTCCTGATGGCTTCTCTTCTGGTGTCTCTCTGTCAGGCCATTCACTCAGTAAGCTGGCATCACGAGGGGCGGCAGTTCATGTGCAGTCATTCTGACGGCAGTCTGAGCATGTGGAATCTGAGAAACACCGCCAAACCTTTTCAAGTCACCTTCCCTCATGGTGGGTACACACATACTGTATGTATGGTCTTTTTTCACATATTAATAATAATTAGTGCAAAACTAGTAAAACTAGGGGTGAGATTAAGGGATGTAAAATATGGTCATGCAGAATAAGGCATTAATATACTAATACTAAAAGTACTAATAAACAGTCAATATGCTATGCATGCCAACAAGCAACTAGTTAACAGTGAGAATCGGTGCCACATTTTTGACATTTTTACTTTAAACCTCTCAAAAATGTCAAAATTACTTTTAATTAAGAAAGGTTTAAACATGTTTATTATGAATTGAATGTATTCTAGTCATGCTCTGTATGAGTTGTATTTTTAATGTTTTATAAAGAAATTGACAGGCTTGGACATAAAAAAGGCATTGAGGCCTCATCACCATACGGTCATTTGTAAGCATTTAAATCAGATGAATAATTACAGTTGCAGTTTCAGTTGCATTTTTTCCTATCATATAATATGTGATATTTTAACTTGTAAAAGAAAAAAAATGTTGCTGGTGTATTATCCTTATATCCTAAATTTGGACATGCCATAGCCTTTTATTGTTTTATATAAAGCTATTTATATTTATACCAGACTAACCCTAACCCACACCCAAAAGAACCTTTAAAATGAGCATTTTTTGCATTTGTAGAATTTAAAAAAATTATTGCCTTTATTTATGAATCGTTTCCACAATAAATACATCTTCAAATGTCCCAAAAGGGAGGTTTTGTCAGTCTTACTTAACTTCTAGGGCTAAATTTTACCCCAAAGTATAGCTAAGTAAACCCACACACATTTAAATACCCCTTCAGCCATTAGGTTAAAGGCTCACCATCTATTAGTGAAATATGACTCTGACATAGTCAGCAAACACACCCCCTCACCAGGTGTGTTCATTATGGAGGATGATTCAGTGTGTGGGTTCACTGTATGTGTGTGTGTGCAAGTTTGATTTGACAGGAATAAGTGATTCACTCTCAATCTTTGCCACTATGTTTGGGGTCCTGGCCTTCAGCTCAGTGGTTAAATAAAGATGAACATGCTTACATTGGGAAAAGTGGTTTCTTAATCAGAAAGTTCTGGACATAAACATAAGAAAGGTTAAGGTGAAAAAGTGAGAACTCACCATTTAATCTCTTTTTTTCAGGTAAGACTCAAAGAGATGGTAGAAAAGAGTCATGTAAACCCATTCTCAAGGTCGAATACAAGACCTCCAGAAACAGGTAAGAGAACACACAAAAATCCCAAACAGACTAATATACTGCTGATGAATTTTGGGAAATGCAGTCTTGAGTGCTGTGGATGAATTTAATCCTCCTATTTGATTGCGACAGATGTGTCCAAGTTCCACTCGAGAACCATTACTGCTGTTTTATCTTGTCACAAAACAATTAAAGTTTACTGCCTGTTTTTATAAAGCCTGTTTTCCTTGGGAGATGAGCAGCAAAACATCATTTGAAGAAACGTCCATTTTTGATTGCTTGTTTTTTTGCCTTTTCCCCCAATGCTGTGTTCAAAGAAGTGGTCATGAGTGGCCGCCTCAGTTATAATGATATTTTAGATTAGCTTGGCTGTAATATTGTTGTCCCCCTTTTGTTTCTTCCTATTTGCATAGAGAGTATTTCAGGGTTGTGAAAAAGACTTTAAATTGAAACAATACTTTCAACGTATCGAGAGGACGTTCAACGTAAAAACAAAGCATAAAACTTGCCTTCTAATAAAATATAAGCTTTTGGCTCTTGACGTGTTAAAGAAAGAAATTCAGACAAACAAATGTGGTTTTCAGTTAACACTCTTTTTATTTTCCGTCTTCCAGTAGTGAAGCATTTGTTGTCTTCTCCGGGGGTCTTTCATATGATAAGGCAGGACGGAGACCAACCCTAACCATCATGCATGGGAAAGCCATCACAGTGTTAGAGATGGACTATCCAATAGTGGACTTCCTAGTGCTCTGTGAGACACCTTATCTCAACGGTGAGTGTACTGAACAGGTCAGTTCTGTCTCCTGCTCTCTTCCATATCATTAGTGTTGATTTTGGTGGGCCATTTAAGTGGATTGAGTAAAATCAAGTTTTTGTTGTTCTTCTCATTGTAGACTCAATCACTGATGTTAACAGAGAGTGGAGAGGAGATTAATTGAAGTGAAACAGTTCATTCGTTCAGACAGTTCTTAATGATTCAGTTCAAAACAACTGATTTCATTTGAATCATCACTAAGCAGAGTTCCAAGATATCCCTGTTCTACATTTGAAATCTCTCTTATTTTGAAATTAATTATGTAGTTAAGTACTTTTAGGGTGTTGTATTTGTATTTCATTTAATTTTATATATTTGTTCCAGTTTGATAATGCTGGGTTTTTTATGGCTCTAACATGTCCCTCAACTTATTGTTTTATCCCCCAGAAAATTATTCCTTACAATTCAATGATTTTATCAAGTGCTGTTAAAAAAATGTGGGGTCTGTAAGTTAAAAAAAAAAAAAAAAAAAAACTAAGGAGGTATTAAATTGATCAAAGGTGTCATTAAATACATTTATAAAGTTATAGAATATTTATATTTCTTTTGAACTTTCTATTCATCAATGAATCCTGAAAAGGAGACCACGGTTTACAGAAAAATATTAAGTTTTCTGTATTGATAGTAATAAGAAATAAAGAAAAATCAGCTTTGTCATTACAGGAATAAATTACATTTTAAAATATATTAAAACAGGCAACGGCTATTTTTAAACTCTAATATTTCATAATATTACAGATATTTTCTTTTACTGTATAAATTCAGTCTTGGTGAGTATAAAAGACGTAAAAAATAATACCAAACCAGTACATTTGAATGACTGCAAATGCATTGTGAATCAATTACACAAAACTTTTTGAAACATCCAACCTAAAGGAACAAGTCATTTGCGAATCCGACATCAGTAAGGTGAAATGCTACATAGGAACTGATTCTGAATGGTTTGAGAAGTGACAGCTTCAGCTCTGTTCAGCCAAGGGGAAAGAGTGTATCGCTATATCTGTCTTTTTCTCTTGAGAAAAGCAGAGACAGACAAAGCACAGAACACACATGTACAGAATTTGTTACCCAGAATACAACAGCAAACATCCAGCAAATGTGCAGTGATTTCAGTTGTTAGCCATTTTAATCTTCCTTTCTCCCTGTCAACTCTCTGCTTGTTTGTTCATTCTAACCAGTGCATATACAGCACAGTACATGGCCCTGCATCTTCATCACCTGTACGGTTTTCATGAAAGAGAATAATGGATTCTGCTGTGTTTTCAGAGCATAATTGTTACACACAAACACAGAGAAGATAATTAATGCCTTCGTCCCCTTGGTTTCAAGATGTCACCTTGTCATCAGTTTTCCTCACAAAGCTTAAAGCTGAAGTGTGTAATTTCTGCACCACCAGAATAAAGACAATTAGAAAAATAATGAGTTTTAAGTTTCAATTCATCTTCTACTGGTCAGACAAACACATACAAACACTTTTTGGGGCTGGTCAGGACTATTAGGGCTATTACAGAGATGTTTCACACAAAAATGAAAATTTGGTCATCATGTATTCACCCTAATGCCATGCCAAACCTGTAAGACTTTCTTCTGTGCAACACAAATATTCATAATATATTAATCTTCAAAAATGTCAGTGTATTTTTTCCATACAATGAAAGTCAGTGGGGTCAAATGCTGTAGTTTCAAACTTCTCCTTTAAATGAAGTAAAATCCATAAATCTATGTTTTTGTGCTCACTTTGTCTTGAGTTCATAGATGATTATTGGTTGAGATGTTGTGTTTGTGTTGACAGAGGTCCAGGAGCCATATGCGGTGGTGGTTCTGCTGGAGAAAGATTTTGTTGTGGTCGATCTAACCCAGAGCAAGTGAGCAATCTCTTCTTCAGCTTTATGCCATGTGTGTGTGTGGCTGTATGATGTAACTCAATGTGATGTACTCCAACAACACCTCACACTAGTACTTCCACCAGAGGCAACATCGCTCAACACCCAATAAATTTTGTGTCTGTGTGTGTGTTACTTTTGAAGATGCTTTGCGGAAAAGGGTTTAAATCTGAGTGTGTGTGTGTGTGTGTGTGTGTGTGTATGTGTGTCTTTATTTGTTAAGAGTAAATATCATTGGATTTGTCACTTATAAACATCCATCAAATGAGTCATTATTAAGAACCAGAGCCAAGGTCAGCCTGACACACTCTCTCGCTCTCTCGCTCTCTCTCTCTCTCTCTCTCTCTCTCACACACACACACACACACACACACCAACTGGCCGTTTGCCACTCTTTTAAGTATTGCTCCTGCCATAGAGACTTTGCCAGTTTGACATCAGATGTTTTCTTTGCTTTAAGGCCATTTCTTCACAAGGACGCACTGAAGGAACAAACAAACTGCTGTACTCAAACCCTCTCAGAACCAGACAGTCATTCATACATTCCATTTAACTTGAACTTTAAAGTGTACTTTAGTTTAGTTTGATGTTCTTTAAAAACATTATTTATTTAAATAAGCTTATATAGTAAAAGCAATAAGCCACTCAAAGCTGCAATGTATGTTACAATGATTTAATACAGGCACTCTCAAAAATGTGGTAAAATCACACACAGCCTTATTACTTTTATATCAGCAATAGCAATATGGTAAAGGCACATTTATTAAGAATAAAAATAACAGTAGCACTTACAATTTATTATTATGATTACATTCTAAATTATTATTAATTCTTCTGATGGATAATGTAGTTCAATTGCATAAATGTAGGCCAGCGGCATCAATACAGTACTCGTGGGTATCAGTACCTGGTAGCCCACTTAGAGTCGCCCACAGAGCACATTCTATAAATAGCCTCAGTTTCTTTTATCATAATAATGCTCATTCTTAAGTATTTCAAATATGTAGCCCTCTAGCACTTTTATCGCTTCTGGTTGCTCTCACTTACAGGAAGGTTGGAGGCACCTGCTTTATGCTGTTTATGGTCGTCTGTAGCAACATAATGCACTTAAATATGGATTTCAGTTGATGTACGGTCACGAATGTGTGTGTATATAGGCTATTTTATGAGAACTGAGAGTCAAAATCTTCTGTGTTTCATAAATGCCTGTTATTTATTTTGAAGTCTCTCTCTCTCCTGTAGTTTTCCTATCTTTGAGAACGCCTACCCCATGGACATCCATGAGTCTCCAGTCACGTGCACGGCTTACTTTGCCGACTGTCCCCCCGACATCATACCTGTGGTTTACTCCATAGGAGCTAAACACAAAAAGACCGGCTACAGCCACAAGGTTCATCAAAGTTCTTCGCTAATCTAAACATTTTTGGAGTTTCTCGATGACCCAAATTGCAGCCTTTCATTTGAAATGCTTAGTGAAACTTGTCATCTATTTTGCATGGCAGTTGAGTGTTTTAGAAACTCTTTTTATGTGTTTATATGTTTGTGTTCAGGAGTGGCCGGTCAGTGGTGGCACATGGACGGTGGGTTCACAGACATATCCAGAGATTATCATCACAGGGTAAGTTGTAATTTGTTGCTAAAAGCTCAGAAACAAGGCTGAATGTTTTTATCAATTTTTTACGGTATTACATGCTTAAGTTGCAGCTTAGAATACACTTCAGGTTCATGTTCAAGTTTGGGGTTGGTCAAATTTTGTATGTTTTTGAAAGAGGTTCAAAAATGTACTAAGGTCAAAAACAGTAAAAAAAAAAAAAAAAAAGTAAAAAAGTCATACTGTAACGTTTTATTACACTTTAAAGTAACTGTTTTCTATTTTAATATATTTTAAAAAGTAATTTGTTCCTGTAATGGCAAAGCTGAATTTTAGGCCATTATTTTAGTCTTAACCCATTTAATCCCAAATTTTTCCCAGACATGAAAATATCCAAATGATGTGTCATTAGTTACCCTTTGAAATAATCAATAATTCTTTTTTGAAATTGTTTTGGAAAAGTGTGTGAAAAATTGTGTTTTATGGTTGGTCACAATTGTGACCGGTGGGATAAGGTGAGTACTAAAAACAAACAAATTCAACCATCAACGCATTTCAAAATTGTTACTTGTTTGTAAAATATAACATCAAATTTTTATATTAGTGCTACCAGTATTACAACATCAATATTGTACATTTTTTGTAACATCAACTTAAGTTCACTGTTATCCCACCGGGAACACTATTGTGACAATCAACATGTTTACTCATTCTATGACCACACTCAACAAAACTGAATATATGTGAATTCATATATTAATACTAGACATGTTAAAGATAATGTGTACCAAAAATCTTTGTCATATCTTTATGTTGACATACTTTACTAGCCTTTTGTTTTGGAGCTTTGATGCAGTTATTATCTTCTCAAGGTGCAAACAGGAAATAAACTGCTCTGGTCATGTGACAATTTGCACTAATCATGTGAAACTGCACATATTTCATTGAGACCCTTTATTTTTTCCATATTTGCAGGAAGTGCACTAAAACATCAGTCAGCGAGGTTTTTAGAGCTTTATAAATGAAAACCTTTTTACGGTCACTATTGTGGATTAAATGGGTTAATATCACATGATCATTCAGAATTCTTTCGAATATACTGATTTGGTGCTAAAGAAACAGTTTATGTTTTTTGTGGAAAACTTGATATTTTGTTCATGATTCTTTGATGAATAGAAAATTCGAAAGAACAGCATTTATTAGAGATTTTGAACTATGGTGTTTATATTATTTAACAAAACATGTTCAAATAATTTTCTGTTTATTACATATTATATTTATATGAATTTGGTTAGTAGGCATTGGAAGAATACGTTTTTTTAGCATTTCACATAAGCATCAAGTTGAGTAAAATGTGTGCTTTTTTGTCTGAAACTAAATATGTGGATGTTTCAGCTGTCCCAGAGCAACACACTTCATTTTCTCACTTGGGATGCTTGTGCATTTAACACATTGTCGCTCACAGCAGTATTGACAGGTACAAGGAATAATATTGGGAGTAAAAACTGAATTTCACACTTGTTGCCAAATCTCCACTGAATGATTTTTAGATATAATACATTAATGGGTGTTTCTTTAAATATGGGCGCCTTTGACCCTGACGGCTTTTACAAAATAAACTCTCTTATACTAACTTTTAAACTTACTTTCCACACTTTCTCTAGTCTATTTCATGTATCTACTGTACCAACAATGTCCAACATACAAGCATCCTAGACAGACTTTTGTCGTGAATATCACAGTATCATTTACACCATGTCACATGATGTTGTTATGATGTTATATGTTTATGTAATCTAAAGGCTTCTTATGAAAATTTGTAAAATGCTTCCTACAGTATGTGTGAAATTAGTAAAACAATGTGCTTGCTTTTCTTGCACCTCAATTTTGAAAGCATAAAGTTTATCTTGAACTTTAGTAGCTTTAGAAGGGTTGTTGTGCAGGTAAAACAAAAGAAAAAAAAAGAAGAAAAAAAACGGCCCACACAAGGTGGCGCTTCTTACCTAAAATAATTTCAAGCCCCTGCCTCAAAAAAGTGAAACTTTCCACCCACATGTGGAGATCATTTATAGTATTTTTATTTGCTTGAAAAATCTGGATTGATTTTGTTTTTGTTCCGAAGCATGCATTGATTCCGTTTGTTTTCACTTGAGGTCAATGATGTCTAAAATGTGCCCTTCTACTTGACTCTCATTGGTAAATGTATCGCAATTCTCTGCTTTAATTCAATAGCGCTATTGACCCTGCGTGTTGTTCTCTCTGCCTCTTTTTCCCTCTTGTTTCCATAGCTGGCATTGCTTGCTTTCTCTTAAGCGGTTTAACACACACACTCATTGGCTCATACGATCGCTCTTTGTCCTTCCTCTTTGTTGTCCCCCTCAGACATGCAGACGGATCAATAAAGTTTTGGGATGCCACGGCGAGTAAGTGTCTTCGCTTTGAAAGCATGTTCCCCCCTTTCAGCCTCATGCTGTTTCCGTCTCACTTTTTCTTACTGCTGCCTTGATTTAGAAGAACCACTTCCCTTGATGCTTTGACATATGATTCCTCATTTCTCATTTCATTCTTGACAACTCAAACCAAACAATATATGACCAAAATGGACATCCAAATACCAAATATGTGCTGGTTTCACAACCATGGGCATTACTTAAAGGACTATTCCAGGTTCAGTGCAAGTTAAGTTCAGCAGACAGCATTTGTGGCATAATGTTGATAATCAATTCATTTCTTGTTTTCTATTAAATAATGGTGAGGAACTTACAGTGGAAATAAATGGGGCCAATTATGGAGAATTTTATAATTTTATAATAATAAGTTTATAATTTTCGGAACACAAATTAAGATATTTTTGATGAAATCAACCCAACTGACACGTTCAAGGCCCAGAAAGGTAGTAAGAACATCGTTAAAATTGTCTATGTGGCATCTATGGTTCAACTGTAATTTTATGAAGCTACGAGAATACTTTTTGGGCATAAAAAAATGTATAAATAAAATAAAAAAATAACATCTTCATACAATACAATCTTCATACAATTTCTTTTCTATGGAGCCCCGAACATGGCATGCAGGAAAAAAATAGTAGGCTAAATCGTGTGCACGATTTACTATTTCGTTCCCTCGATTTATAAATTGTGCGCACGATTTACTAATTCATTCCCTCGATTTGCTAAATCGTGCACACGATTTATAAATCGAGAGAACGGATTAGTAAATTGTGCGCACGATTTAGCAAATCGAGGGAACGAAATAGTAATCGTATGCACGTTTTAGTACATTGAGGGAACGAAATCGAGGAAACGAAATAGTAATCGTATGCACGTTTTAGTACATCGAGGGAACTAATTAGTAAATCATGCGCACGATTTATTTATTTTTTCTTGCATGTCATGGCATGTTGCATTGCGGGGCTCCGCACTTTTCTTCCATGTCAGATTTTTTTTTCTTAAAGTAGACACTAATCTTTATGGTAGTCATCATTATGCTACTATTAAGTGCTTTTGATTGAGCTTAACTTGTACTAAACTGTAGCGTCTGGACCAATCAAAAACACAATTTTTCATTTGATTTAACAAATCAATTATTCATTAGATTAACAAACGTTCACAGACCACTCACCCAATAAACATACTGGGTGCCAAGTTGTCTGTGAACAGGGCCCAGGACCCTGGTTACCATGGCAACCCTGACACCAGATACATTTACGACCTAATGGAATGCGAAGCAGGGAAAATCACTGCATGTTCCATCGCGAGCGGCAATTCATATTTCCCCATGAGCTGATTCGCTACAAAACACAGAATATTTCCTTTAAAGCACTGCTTCTGTTTAAATACCTTGTGCGTCACATTCAGTATGTAATAAGATGTGATGTGGTGATAACCTCCATCTCTGTCAGTCACACTGCAGATGTTGTATAAGCTCAAGACGTCAAAGGTGTTTGAGAAGCCTAAGAGTGGAGATATGGGACGCAGCGCTGAGCTTGTGGAGGAAGACCCCTATGCCATTCAGATGATCAGCTGGTGCCCGCAGAGCCGTATCTTTTGTGTAGTCGGCATCAGCGCCCACGTCATCATGTACCGCTTCAGCAAACATGACGCCAACACCAGCATCACTGTGAGTGTGCTCTTAAAGTGATAGTTCACCCAAAAATCCAATCAACATTTCTTACTTGCATGTTGTTCCAAACCTCTATGGCCTTCTGTGTAACACAAAAGAAGATATTTTAAAGAATGTTTTGTCCATACAATAAAGATCAATGGGGTCAAAAACAACATTGAATGCCATTAACTTTTATTGAATGGACAAAAAAACGCTTTTGTCTTTTGTGTTCAGCAGAAGAAAGAAACTCATTTTGAGTGAACTGTTCTTTTAAAGCAAACCTTTAAGAGTTTGAGTACATGCTGTAGATTTGATGGATTAGCTTTGTGTTGCATTTGTGTGTGTAGTCCCTAGAAGTGCGACTGCAGTGTGAGATGGAGGACGTCATCTCTCCGTCAGATACAGAGAACACTCCATGTTTTTCGGACCCCAGCGGTCTCTCGCCCCAACCTCAGCCTCCAAGTCCCCGCAGCAACATGCCGGACAGTGTGCGGGATAGCATCCCTTGCCTCAAGTGAGACTATGCAGCAATTGCTCAATATTTATGTTTTCCTATGTAGGACTTGATAAGATCAGCTTGCTTACTAGATAATTCTACATAGAAAGTATTAGGTCAATAAAGTGTAACATAGATTCCACATGTACTGAATCTGAATACTCTCATCACAGGGTTAAAGATCGTATGATCCGAATGCCTCCTGGGTACCAGGCGGAGCTGGTGGTTCAGTTATTATGGGTTGATGGAGAACCGCCACAACAAATCACCAGCTTGGATTTAAACTCTGCCTACGGACTGTAAGTGGCCCTTCCTCTTTTATGTCATCTATTTTATTCAGCCAATAGAATCCTTACTTTTTCCTCTAATTTAATATTTTGTTTTCCATTTTGCCTTGAACATAAATACTATAGTATTTTACTATACAGTACCATGGTAATACCAAGGTTTTGTGGACTTCTGTGGATTTATTTACTATGGTATATGAGTATGGGGCAGCAATTTAGTATAGGACCAATTCTCACTATTGACTAGTTGCTTATTATCATGCCTATTATTAACATATTGGCTGTTTAAAGCACATATGCTGCATGACCATATTCTACATCCCTGATCCTAAACTTAACAAGTACCTTACTAACTATTAATAATAAGCAGCAAATTAGGAGTTTATTGACGCAAAAGTCACAGTTAATGGTTTGTTAATGGCAAGAATTGGACCTTAAAATAAAGTGTAACTTAGTATGGTAATCAAACATCAGTGTTCCCATGTTTAATGTAATTTATTTTGTCATCATAATAACTTCAGACTCATGTGTCCAACTGTTATTCCAGCTTGCAGGGTCTTTGATTTTTGATTAAAGTGGTAAAACTCTAATTATAATTCGGCCTTCTTTTGAATCTTTCACTTGTTGTCTTCCTGTTTTGATTCAGTCACAACCACGTGCAATCTTAATCACTAAAGCATTATTACGAGCAAAGGTTGCCATGGTGATGTTTGGCTACAATGGTCAGAAAGACTTTGAATTCCTTTGAATTCAGTCCAGCAAATTAAATGTCACTGCACACCCAGTATCATACAGTCCGCATTTGTGTATGCGTGTCTTGTGAATTGTTTGTTAATGACTGGACCCACGGTGTGGGATTTACCAGTAATTAATGGAACATTTTAAAATCAGTCTCATTTTACATTTTACCCCTTGTAGAACCTGTTGGATGTTTAGCATTCTAGACAACATAAATTATATTCATGTGTTTATTTGGTCAGAAATACTGTAAAAACATTTTTATAACATTTTGAAACATTATTATAATTTATAAATGTATAATAACTGAAAACTGTTAAAGGTGCCATAGAATGGAAAACTGTATTTACCTTGGCATAGTTGAATAATAACAGTTCTGTACATGGAAATGACTTACTGTGAGCCTCAAACACCATTGTTTACTCCTTCTTATGTAAATCTCGTGCATGCAAAAGACCACTGAAAAATAGGCGAATCAGAACATAACACCGACTGTGACGTTACAGTCGGGATCACTAATAGTTACGCCCCCGACATTTGCATATACCCGCCCATGTTCTATGCCAGCCCAGCCGAACCTGCACAGCCGAATCATCAGAAGTTCTGCAGGTATTGTGAAGAAACAAGCGAGGATAATAGCGAAAATGGCAGATCATGGAAATAAATGTTATGTTACAGGCTGTGCAGGGGATGTGATGTGCAGGGAT